AATCTCTTTTTGGTCTTTTGTGTCTCTTTATAGTAGTTTTCCATCTCAGTGGTCATTTTCATCTCTTTGCAGTCCTGTGCGTCTCCTTGTGGTTGTCTTCATCTCTTTTTAGTCTGTTGCTTTTCTTTTGAGTATCACAAAGAATAATTTGTACAAAAGACATTACACGATCACTCTGTGTAATTATTGGTAACTTGTTGCTCCGTGATGTTTACTCCCTCTGATCTATAAATGTTTAAAAAGAAAAGAGCTTTAAAAACAGGCTCAGGAGGAAAAAAAAAGAAGTTTGTGGTTGTTATGTTGTTAAATAATAAATGCGGATGCTCTGATGGGTTTTATGGAAATAACACACAAACAGAAGGCGAACGAATGAGGCCTCAGACCTTCAGGGTTTGTGAGTATTGCAGAATGTTTTAGTAATATGAACCAAAGAGGCACAATAACGGATACAAAGACCTGAAGGCAGCTTTAACCTGATGTTGAGGTCGTATGTCAGAGATGTAATACCTCCATTACGTAAGTTAACGTGGCGTTCAGGGTGCACACTGCAGATGCTCTACATAAATAACACAAACCGACACAGAAAGCTGAAAGCAGACGTTATTCTGGCAGACTGAAATGCAAAATAAAGACAAATAACATTAATATGCTGCTTCTGTTTGGATGTGAAAACACTGTGTAATCCTCACCAGTGTTTTCTTATGATTAACAAAATGCATAATTTAAAGTGGACCCACTGTGTTTCCGTACGTTGTGTCTTCATGTGGTGTTACTGTGTCAGGTGTTCAGTTTCAGATAATGTGTGTAAAGGTGATCGATGTGAGCAGAAACCTCATTAACAGTGTGCTGGATTTACTTATATGGTCATCTGCTCCAGTCACGCTACCTCTAGTGTTTACACCACACACGCTGCTACATGTAGCTACATGCTAACGTCAAGGAAAAATATAATCTAGGTTGCTGTTGCATTGAACTTCTCCGCGATTCTGGATCATGTGTGGTTGTGTAAGAAGCTTTTATTGTTTATTAAAACGTGACACTAATTAACATTAAAGCATGTCAACATGTTCTAGTGCAGTGGTTCCACAGCCACAGGGTCTAGATTTCTTCTTTGTTATTAGTTCAAGGTCTGTCCGTAAGCGTCATACTTGTGTTTGGACATGTTGTCGAGCTAGTTTGCTGTCTCGGTCAAGCAGCTGTCTGTTAGTCACTCACTCCACAGCAGGAAATGGCACTTCACAATAAAGCTCTATGCTGGAAATTCCCTGCACTTAAAAATAAAGTGTGTTTTTTCAAACTTGAGAAGTGTGCGAGTCACTTGCAGTCCATTTAGTATTGACCTGGGACCCACTATTGGACCGCGACCCACCAGTTGAGAACCACCATTATAGTGAAACCTTAAAGATAAGTATGAACCTTAAAATGAGTATGATCGGTCCTCTTTCATAAGAATCTGAAACACATGAAACTGTAAATGTGGGTATTTCAGTCAGGAGCTGTCGGTCTTCACAGCCAGGTCGATCCATTGTAGGGAAACATGAGGATTTGCATACAGTCTCTTTCAAAATAAAAGCACTACATCGGAACAACACCGCCACCTGATGTTTTTTCCTTCAAAACACTCACATGTGGTTATTACATTTAGCCAACACACACACACGTGGTTACATTTAGCCAACACACACACACACACACACACACACACACACACATGGTTGGGTGTAGGAGAAAAGAACAGGGGTTGTCTTCTTACATTCTTACAGGGTGTGAACAACGTCCTTCCTGGGTGAAAGTCTGTGGTTGTTGGACCCATCCACTACTCCTCCCACTCAACCTACTCAGACTTCCACTGCCTTATCTTTCGTTGTTGTCCCACCATGTTTCAACTGGGTTGAGGACACATGTGAGATTGGGGCTTTATAAAAAGGTAGCGACCAGGGGGTAGCAGCAGCTGTATAAGAGGAAGCCACAAAAATCATGGATGCAGCACCGAAAAATGCAAATGTGGCTCACTTTCAGTTTTGTTGGCGATAATGGTGCAAACAGTAACCGATAATCCCGGCGTAGTATAGCTGTAATGGAGACGAATAAAAATGAAAGTTCACTTGTGCTTGCTGTGTTTACAGCTAAGGACACAGGTTTTAGTTAGACTGTATAAAAAATGGACGCGGCAACCGTGATGTCATCCACTGGTTTGTGGACTCCCATTTTGAAGCGTGGAGTTGGGCAATTCGGCCGTCGCCATCTTGGTTTTTTGTTGGAGCTGTGGAGCGAGGAGTGGATCTGACTCTGACTGTAGTGACGGCCCGTCACTCAAGTGGCCCCACCCTGAAACATGCATAACTTTAGGCCTTAATATGATGCAAATGGGTGAGTTATAAAAAAAATCACCCCTGCTTAGTTTTGTTTAAGCATCAAACTTACCTGCATTCTGGTGAATTTTTACGCATCAGTTTTGTGTCATTGATTCTTTAATGTCTTTAACTATGTCAGTTAGTTTGGTTTTAATAATTTACAGGAGGAAACACATCCAGCTCGTGTTAAAATTGAATTTCATTTAAGTCTTTTCAATTCATTTCAGTAGTGTTTTGATGATCAGCAGGTTCCACTGGAGTACTTCTTGGCAATAATACAATAATCCCCATATTTTTCAGTTTTATTTTGACTTGTTTAATTCTGCTTTGAAACAACATTTAATTCTGATGGTTGTAAAGAGGTAAACAAAATTATTTTAAATCAATATTGAAATTTCAGACAGATCTGTTTCAACGCTGAAACAATTTTCCTCGGAGCACCTGGAGGAAACCCAGGCTGACACAGGGAGAACATGTCGGAGCACCTGGAGGAAACCCACGCTGACACAGGGAGAACATGTCGGAGCACCTGGAGGAAACCCACGCTGACACAGGGAGAACATGTCGGAGCACCTGGAGGAAACCCACGCTGACACAGGAGAACACGTCGGAGCACCTGGAAGAAACCCACGCTGACACGGGGAGAACATGTCGGAGCACCTGGAGGAAACCCACACTGACACAGGGAGAACATGTCGGAGCACCTGGAGGAAACCCACGATGACACAGGAAGAACATGTCGGAGCACCTGGAGGAAACCCACGCTGACACGGGGAGAACGTGTCGGAGCACCTGGAGGAAACCCACGCTGACACGGGGAGAACATGTCAGAGCACCTGGAGGAAACCCACGCTGACACGGGGAGAACGTGTCGGAGCACCTGGAGGAAACCCACACCATTTCATATATTATGCACAGAACGAGGAAGGAAAGGGGGGGTCAGTGGGGGCCCAAGGATAACTTCTGTCCTGAGCCCCCCCTAATGTTTAAATCCGGCCCTGACACAGATCTCTCGAAACGTCCATGTACATGTATTCTGTACATGTTCCTACACATACTGCTGTCAAACCAACACGTGCACATAAAACAGAGCTTATTAAGGAAATCCACAAAAAAATAAAATTTAATAAAATTTAATAACTTCCAAAACTGGCTCAGTAAAGGTTTAATGGTTTCTGGTTCAACTAATTTGTGAACTTTGATATGAAAACGACATGATAATGATGAAGAGCAGCATCAGACAGATCGATAGATGAGGATGAGGATGAGGAGGAGGAGGAGGCGGAGGAGGAGGAGGAGGAGTTGAGGCAGACCAACTTTTGGACGCACCGGCAGAGTCGCGCTCCGCTCCCGGTCTCACTCCTCCGTCAGACCTCCTGCTGCTCCGCATTAAACTAATTAAGCTAATGAAGGTGATTAAAGCGGAGCAGATCTGCAGCTCCGCTTCCTCTCTGGACTCCGGATCATTTCATTCTCCTCCGCAGGATCCGCGCGTTTTCATCTTACTGCCTTTTGTTTCCTCCGCCGGTGAAATCGGAATATTTCCAGTTTCTGTCCTCCAGGTCTCAGACTGCTGGATCACAATGTGGGTTTAATTCCCGCAGCTCTTGTTCTCACATCACTTTTCCTCCTCACTTCGCCGCTGCGGATTTTCTCAGACACGTTTTTTACTTTTCCTTTACCAGCTGATTGAGCTCCGCGGCGAATCACACCAGAGGATGCTTCTGTGTTTTATTCCGGATTTAATATGTTTCACAGCTTTTGCTTTCTGTCAGTGATTCACATGGATTCTACTGAAGGTTATTACTTTGATTCAAATCACAGAAAACTGATGTTTTACTTCTGCTCAGAATTTAAACCTGGAATATAATCCCCCTCTCTCCCTCTCTCCTGTGTTACTGTCCCCGATCTAATTTTCCTGGCACCACTGGATGTGTATTTAATTTCCCAGGATCCAGTTCAACTTTGTTTTACTCGCTTTGCTTTCAAATGACTTCAGACGGAGTCACATTTCCCCTGGAGTCTGGAGGAAAACCTGCTGCGTCTGGACAAATTTCCTGGAGGGGAGGAAATCCATGAGGTGCTGAACTATTCCACATCAACTCCAGCTTTTCACTTCATCGCCTTTGTTTCAAATCAGAATTAAATTTAGAGGACGTAGAGAGGGAAGAACCCCGAGGGCCATTTATTTGTTTGTTTTTCAGACTTTCCCGTTTCTTTTCTTTGTTATCGAAAATCACACTTTCTCCTGGAAGACGAGCAGATGAGTTTAAATCGAAGCAGCCATGGGCATCTAGTAGAACCCTTAGGATTTTAAGGACTACAGTGTGAGGCAACCTGAGGAACAACTCTAGAGGAACCTTGAAAACTCTGAAAAGCTCTAAAGGGATCCACAGGAAATCTGAGGACTGCTGAGAATCTGAAGGAGCCCAGGAGGAACCCAAATTATGCTTAAGACTCATAAGAGGTGCTCCGAAGACCCAGAGGAAATGTGGGAAGCTCTGAAGATTCATGTAAAAAGGAACCTTGAAAACCCCACAGAGGAACCCTAGAGGGACCCTTAAGACCCCCAGGGAATTGTAGAGACTGCTAAGAATCTGAAGAAATCCAGGAGGTAACTCTAAGAGCCTGGAGGTACCCCAGAAGAATCTCAAAGACCTTTGAGACTTGTAAGGACGCTCAGAGGAATTCTGAAGAGTGCTTCTAAGAATCTTGGGGGATCCTCGAGACCCCAAGGAGATCTCAAACTCCTGTCCCTCTGCAGGAACCCAGAGGAACTACAGAAGAACTTTAATGTACCCAAAGACTCTTTAGGAACCTTTGCAAATTGCTGTACATCTTCAAGGGATCCCATAGAACCCCCCCCACTAAGGAATCCTAGAGGGACCTACAAAGCCCTGTAAAGTGTAGGTTGTGGTCTTAGGTCCATAAGTTGCCCAGAAATCACCAAGACTCTGTAAAAATCAGGGGGCCACTAAAGAATCTGAGGGAACCCTGAGGATTCCCTGAGGACTCCAGGAAAATCTGGGGACGGCATCCCAAGAGATAAGTACTTTGAGGAACCCTAAAGGGACCCTCACGATCCAAAGGAAATCTGGGGACCACAGAGGAACCCCCAACACTCTAGAGGAACCCTGAGAGCTCCTCGGGGAACCCCCAGAGAACCAATGGGCACTCTACGGGACCTGCAGTACGCCCTGCAGGAGAAGATCGAGGAGCTGCGGCAGCGCGACACCCTGATCGACGAGCTGGAGCTGGAGCTGGATCAGAAGGATGAGCTGATCCAGCGGCTGCAGAACGAGCTGGACAAGTACCGCTCTGTGCTCCGGCCCGCCACCGCCCAGCAGGTCCAGGCCCAGCAGCAGAGCCTCGCCATGCAGCCGGACCAGCACCGCAGCAAACGGCAGGCCATCTCTGCCGAGCCCACCGCCTGTGACATCACTGACCTCAGCCATGTCACTCTGCCCTTCTACCCCAAGAGCCCGCAGTAAGTCCACTTTGTGTGTGTGTGTGTGTTGTTGAAACTTAATGCACTGTAAAAGGTCAGTAAATGGTAAATGGACTTCACTTGTATCACGCTCTCAAGTCTTCTGACCACACAAAGCGCTTTTACACTACGTGTCACATTCACACACTGGTGGCCGAGGTTACTGTACATGGTGCCGCCTGCTACTCAGCAACCATTCATCAGCAACTGTTCATCCCTACAACACGAAATACTTTTTCCCTAACCTGATATGAAGTGTGCGCTGCACATGTGAGCATTTTTGATGATGGCCTCCGTCCAGTGGGAATGTTGGTATTGGCAGTTGCAGAAGAAGTGCTCACAACTTTTATTTGCAAGTAAAATAACAGTAAAACTATTTACTGCGAAAATGCAATATCGTGCATCCCTAGTGTAGATATGTTTGACCAGTTTAAAAGTTTTCTAACATTATGTTCCAGGTGTCTGCTGGGATCAGGATAATCCTGACTTTGGGATCAGAAGTTTCCCAATCCTACTAAAAAGTTCTGGACAACACACACTGACAGTTTGATCCAGATAAAGACAAAGACTGGATTATGTGATCTTATCTGATTTCAGAATCTCCTTTTTCTTTTTAACGAGCCCTTTTCAAGATTTGATCGTTTCCGCTAGCCAAAATCCAATCAGATAACTTATGAACAACTGGGCCCTGGTGTCTATCAGAGTGACCCAGGTGGCATTTCCAGGTTTCTCAAACAAGGATATGATGTTTATATGTGCAGCACATGACGGGGATACTTCAGATACTGGTATGCATGTACAGGCTTTCACTTTTGGTACGAAACATGAACTTGATGTCGAAATTTCAAGCCAATGAAGGAACCCATGTTTTCGTTTTGTGCATAAAGTCTATTGAGGCGATCCACTATTCTTCTTCTGTGTTGCTGGTTGTGTTGAGAGAAGACAGCTCCAGTGACGTGCGCTGGTTTTGGATGCCCACCAGGCTCTGCTCAGTAAACCAGACTGTTCTCACGGAGATGTTTGAACTCTGCTGAAGTTAAAGTCTCATTAAAAGCCGGCAGATGAGTGGAAGCTGCCAGCAGAACTCCTGCACGCCTCCAGGCAGATTAAAACTTTCAAACATTAATGTTTCCCTGCTGAACAAAACGCTCCCATCAGTCCGCGCTGCACAGGTGGTGGAAAAGGGAATCATTTATATCCTCTAACAGTGAATATTTGCATGTTGAATATGGAGGTTTCTCTCCTCTCTCTGGTGGTATCTCTCCTGTCAGATGGGTTCGGGTTTATGTGTCCAGGTTTGTAGATATTTGTCTCTGAGATTACCGCCTGACATGAAAGGATTTACTGATGGACTGTGTTAACAGTGCAGCTTCAGTTGTACATTGTACCTGCGTTACATTCAGCACCAGGTGTTACTTTTGAAAATAACAACGTTAGATGATCAAAGTGTTGAATTTATGGAGACGTAGTTCACTCATTTATATTCATGCCACTTTTAATAGCATTTAATAGTTTTCTGTGAAAGTTGAAGCACAGCTGGAGCAGCAGGTGGTTGAAGACTAATGATGCTTTAACTTTTAAATTCTGCAGATTCTTAAATGTGAGGATTTTCTCTTGTCTCCGAAATCTGTTGGACCTTTTTACTATTTTCTGACATTTTAATAGACCAAATGATGAATTTATGTCTTGAGAAAATAACCATCAATTTAAAAAAGGCAGTGATTTGTTACTCGCAGCCCTGTGTTAAAGTATTATTCTGCTCTTTATACTTTAATAAACCGGATGGAGAAAAATGGATCAGTTGCACTGAACACTTTACTATCCGCAGGTTATGTTTCTCAGGGCCAGATGTATAAATCTTTGTATACTAATGACTAACTGTGTGTGTATGCACAAAGGCAGAAATGTGCATACGCATTATTTTGTCAGGTTTATGAAGCTGTGCTTACGACCGATTCTGTTCTAAATCTCAGTCATTGTGACGTAGCCTCATTTCCACATCCATAGTTCACTATAAATGGATTTCAGTCAGGACCACTTTTGTCAAAGAAAAATGTATTTCCATTGCAGTATTATATTTGGTGGTATGACTCTGTTCTGTGTCCTCTCTGCCTTTCCTCGGGCCTGTGCAGAGAGCCCAAGGCGGAGAGCACACCTCTCTGCCCTATCACACGCCTAAGTGGAATGCCTAAGGTGGAGAGAGCATACTTCTCTGCCCTTCCATGTGCATATGAGGAAAGCCTGAGGCGGAGAAAGCATACCATGCACCTACATGGAAAGCCTTAGGCAGGGAGAGCATGAGAGTTGCCATTTGGTTACATAGAAAGGAATCGTGATCTATCAGCTGACTCCCTCCCATCAATCAGCTGATCCATCAGTTGATTGGGCTGTTTGAGATCAGCTGATGTAGCTGGGATGTGAGCTGAGCTTGACATCGTGTCCTGCTTGAACTAACACTATGCTCAAAGTAGAAGTGCCCTTAAACATCCATTTGCATATTAATCCTTTTGCCCCCCCACAGTTCATTCAAGAGCAACTTTACCGACTGTGTCACATCAGTGAGGTTTTCCAACATTGCTGGAGAAGTCGTCATTACACACGACTGTTGATATAGGTAGTTCCCCAACTGGTACCGGATGTCAAATGACATCACAAAGACAACAACACAAATTAAAACCAACAAAATATCAGTGTCATCTGTCGTCTGTAGTTTATATACAATTGATGTCGACATTAGACATTGTCCTGACATGGAATTTTAGGCTGTTGGCGTCACAACCTAAATTCTACCAAATATCACTGTCTAACTTTGTTGTAGGGTTGCAAAGGTATGAGATTTTCATGGTACGTTAATAGTCACGGTTTTACAGTATCACAGAATTGATATTATAATCAGTCAGAATGACTCTTAAAGGAATAAAAACGGAAGGATTATTGTAGGTTGAACAAACGTTTTATTACTATGATTGAAAGTTGAAACCATTTTGTTAATGGGACTATGTGTAAAAGATACTGATACATGTATACTGTAAAATATGAAAGCAGATTTCAATCACTTGACAATGTTAGTATGGCGATAGCAGGGCCCCATCTTTTAATAGATTTTTTTTGGGGGGTGTTTCAAGGAGCACGTTATCTGTTCCATCTGGGAAATTTCCCAAACCTTCTCAGTCCACATGCTTGATGTCGGGACGTCAGGTTTTAACCACTTAATTGTAATGCATCAAAATATGTTGGTATGGCTGCCAATGTGTGTACACAGTATGTTGAGCCCATTTTAGCCACTGTTTCTGGTGTCTGAAAAAACCTTATTATCACTTTCCATCTGAATTCCCTCCAAGTATTTGAAGTGGTTACTGAGTGTGCGTCAGTACATACTTTTATTTAATGCTGTCTTCATGACATCACCCGCAGGTGTCTCAGCTATAACTGTGTGTATGCCTGGTCTGAAGTCTGCAAATATTCTCACCACACAGTCTTCCTTTGTCAATACCAGTGTCTATGTGGGAAAAGGTGTATGTGTGTTTTTTTGTGCATTTGCATTGTTTATGCATTTAATTCATGTTGTGAGTCAGCACTCAAGTTTCAGGTCAAAGTATTTGTCAGTGTTATTGTTGTAGTAAGCAGCAGACATGTTCCTGCAGTGTTTGGTCTCAGTGAAACGGAGTCCAGGTCATGGACTTCAGCGTCCTGTTGTAATCATCAGCAGCTTGTCTCTGCTGAATCTAACAGCTGCTGCTGTCACAGGTCTTTATTTATACACATGTGAATATGAAAATGTGTGTGTGACGCTGGTGACATGCTGGGATGGACAACTGCTGCTGAAGTCCTGCTGTCATAAAAATCTAATAATATCCGTTTAAAGATCCACATATGGAGCCCCAGACTGTAACACTCCTTTATTTTTTTTTTTTTGAGGTTAGAAACATAAAAATGTAGCTGGAAGGAAATCTCAGAATCCTTTAACACATCAGGAAGTAGGGCTCCTCCGCTACGTCTGTCCATCTGTACCCTTCTAGTGAATGTGGAATCTCAACAAAGCCTCAAGAAATCTCTTCAAATTTGGCACAAACATTCATGTGGACGAAGAATAATAATTTGATGGTCAAAGGTCACTGTGCCCTGGCGTCCGTGTCATTCTCTAGAACACAATGTCTCATGGTGGCTCTGAGGAAGGAGAGGAAGAGGGACTGACAGTGTTTGGATGCAGGGAGAGAAGTGATCAGTTTATTGTAGAAGTGATGATACAGACATTTTATACACTGTACATGTGTATATAACGCTGACCTACCGATGTGCATTCACCCTGCTGCACATATGAGTCAGCCGTCACACTGCTTGTCACTGTGAGTGGAGCCTTCAGTCTGCAGTGTAGTTTATACACTTCAGCAGCACTGGGCTTCACCATCAAAGAAAGTTTTTGTATGGAGCTCCCCCTCTGGGCAGCGACTGCCACACATAGAATCTAAATCTGTGGGAAACACAGGTGATCTATTAAATACTGCACATTATACTCTATGAAATTGGTTAAAGGGACAATCAAAAAAACACATTTTTCCTTTTCCCTGTAGAGCTGTTTATTAGTCTTGGTGTGAGTTGCTGAGTGTTTGAGGTATTGGAAGTAGAGATGTCTGCCTTCTCTCCAGTATAATGGAACTAGATGTCACTCAGCCTGTGGTGCTCAAAGTGTCAAAAAAACAAAGTACAATTTAAAAATAGGGCTGACCTGAATGCTTCATAGCTTCAGCCATTGTCGTAGTAATCGACATCACCACTAAACTGGTAGAGGAAATTAAAGGAAGATGGAGTGTCAGATCGGAATGAGGTCAGTGTCTTCAGTGTTGACCTAGTCTCACTCCAAAGTCCTCAAAAACGGGTGCTTGATCGGTGACTTCCGGCGTTAGACACTGACGAAAACAGGCATCCTTTCACATCGGCATGACACATGGCTGGTCGCCGACCAGTGGCATTAGGAGAAAATGCTGTGGGAGGGCTGATGG